AAACAGATGAATTTTCGAGTGATTCAAATTGAAGCATGTTCGTGTGTTCCTTAGCTTGTTCATATCAAAATTTGAGGTTTTTCTACCAAGTGGTTATTTTCTGACGATTAAATAAAAGAGCAGTGCGCGTTGCTGGAAAGTGACATTTCTAGGCTTAAACTGCGTTTTTGGAGCCCAAGATGACCTCAAATGGCTTGTGGTCTACTTTCAGGTGTTTTCATTCTTTTTCTAGTTTAATATAATTATGTTGATTTTAATTATGAATATGCGTAACTAATTCTCTTTGCTAGGGTGAGGCCATGATCCTTAGCAAGAATATGTAGTCTTTTTTTAATTTTCTTATGAATTTATGCATGCAAGTTTTGGATTGTTAATCACTGTGCTTTAAACTATCTATTTGTCTTAGTGATTCGCAACCATTAGGATATTTAGAAAAGTAATTTGATGCAATTTTGGCGGAGGGTTGTCCTTAAAATTGACTAAGGCTTCTTGTGGTTAATATGTGTAACTACTTAGGATGGACAACACGTCTTAAGAGTTATATGGTTTTTCAAAATGTTTTCACAAAACCTAATGAGTCTTGCATGTTCACATTCAATCTGGACACCACAGACGGGTTGCATGTTAGATATACGTTTTATATTGGGGGTTCCAAGTAGGGCATACTTTAGGAAAACCTAACCTTCAAAATACGCATGTGTAATTCATAAGGAATTAGAAGAACTATAGAGGATTGTTAGGGTGATGGTGGAACCTTAGTGTTTTTCCAAATTTGTTTCTCAAAATCTTTTCTCTTTGATTTGTTTCCTTTTTAATTGGTTATTAGTTGCTTTCCCTAAATTACTTTTTTAAAATTCGTTTCTAATACTTTTAAATTCAAAATCAACATTTTCCAATCTTTACTCTTAGATAATTAACTAGGATTAGGGTTTTTCATAAATTGTTTTAAATAATCTCAGCAGAAAATGACCTTACTTGAGCTGTTTATACTACAACAACCTTATTCTCTTGCAAGTATTTTGTGTGATTTTATCCCTACTTTTACACGTAGTAAAAATACTATCACGTACCATGCCGTGATTTAAAAAATGCCTTCTGCACACGCGTGATCACATGCTTGAAGACTGGTAAAATATAATCAGTACAAGAGACTAAAAAAAATGGAACTGTCTTTCAACAGTTTGGATGTCATGTATGGCCATATCCTTTATTTCCACCATTCTTATCAAGCGGCTAGGGAGAGATTGTCTTATCTCATAAACTCATAACGTGGCAATAGCCTATTAGAAAGGTAATGTACGTTTTAAAATCGTGGCAAATATTCCGGCTGAGTCATAAGGCCTCTAAAAATAAAATTTGGTTGTATGAAAGACTCTATCATAAAATAAAACAACGGATAATCAACGAAAGTAACAGTACACCATGTTGGACCTTTTCAAGGTCAAAATGAAATATGAAAGTAGACCAAGTTGGTTGTCACATCCCAGCCCGGGCCCTACCACATTCCGGGCTCGACTCTACCGTAGCACGATATTGTCCGTTTTAGGTCCCGGCCACACCCTCACAGTTTTGTTTCTGGGAACTCACATAAGAACTTTCCAATGGGTCACCCATCATGGAAGTGCTCTCGTGCGCTACTCGCTTAACTTCAGAGTTCCATGAAACCCGAAGCCAGTGAGCTCCCAAAAGACCTCGTGCTAGGTAGAGATGAGAGTATACATATAAGGCTTACATGATCCACTCCACTGGGCAATCTCGGCTCGAGCCGGGATGTGACATTGGTAGTATTAATCTATTTTTTTGTTTTAACAAACAATATTATATATACTAAGGAGAGAGAGTGGGCTAAACCTCACAATGGGCTAGCAATAATATGATTCAAATTCATCTTTGACGAGAATCGAATCTAAGACCTCTCACTTATAAGTGAAGAAGCATAGAACTAGACCGTAATACTAAATATCATTATTTATTCACTTTTAAATAATGAATAATCAAGAAAAATATTGCACGGGTCCCCTCTCATCACTTACCACTAGTGGCCATCACTTCCCTGAGCAAAAGATATCTTTCCAATTGCTTGACCAAAACAAGCATTGACTTGACTGTCTGTCCATCAATAACAGGCCCACATCTCAACCCAAATATAATGACGTCAAAGTAGAGGGGAAAATGAGAAGGAAACTCCGGAGAGTAGAGAGAAGGAAAAGGAGAAAATGAGAAAAGGAAGGAGGAAAATGAAAGGAAATTTCAGGAGAATAGAGAAAAGAAGGGAAAAGAAGGGAAAAGGGGAAGGAAGCTTCAGAGAGTAGAAGAAAAGAGGGAAAAACATAAAAAAAAATAAATAAAAGAGGAAAGTTGCCTTCATCATTATGTCTACTAAGACAAAGAGCGAAATGCTCCCAACTTTCCTTGTTTCTTACATGTAAATTATATTTTGTATAATGAGAAATCAGTATTGCTACTTCAAGGATGTAGACACAACTTGTCGAATCTCATAACAATACAACAAGCCTATAGTTGCACAACAATTCGATCAACCATCTTAAGTTCAACCATACATGTACCCAGATTTAGGTTTTTCCAAACTTTCCTTATAAAACTAACTGAACATTATAAGCGCCACATTATTATGCGGTTTTATCAAGTTTTAATTTTTGTCTCATTAACATATCATCTTTAGGATAATCAATCTTGCAGTTGAATATATAAACATTCGAGATGGGGATATTGGATACACTAGTTGGTGGGCTGATTGGTAGAAATAGTTCCAACAATTCAAAGACAAGAAATGAGTATGAAGCAACGATCAAAATATGTTGTATTTTATCACAAAATATCTTTGTGCAATTAGAAGTGCATTTTATCACAAAAAGATGAGCAACGATCAATATAATTGTAATTTATAAAATCACATATAACAACAAGTAATCTTCTCTTTCTTTTCATATCTGCCACTAATGGCCGACCATGACTTAAGGAAACGCTTTTTGGGTCAATGCATGAGAACGACCCATTTTAAAATTATTTGTAAATTTTCATATAAGTGGACAGTAATGACCTAATTAAATATTTCACCTGCACCGAGATACTTGCATTGCACCTAGCAAGATCAGTTTTTTTGTTTGTCCATCGATCCACATCAAACAGATCAATCATCAGAACCATCCATCCACATCAATGGCTCTTATGATAAAATATTCTGTCTTTAAATTATTGAAGCAATATTAAAAAAATATAAAAATAACACAAGAATTTCAATAATAATAATCATAAAGAAATTTATAACATCAATTATGTATGACATTATTATAAACAACTAAAGAGAAAGTTAGAAAAACTGACAAATTTGGAGATTGAAGCTTACATAAATTCAATGTCATAAAGACATAATTTTGTCCCTGCTCTTGATTAGAAGTTGAAGCACTTCAATATTCGGATTCTGACGAATTTTATATTTTCTGTACTCTCAAGACACGACTCGAAATTTGACAACCGAAAAATGGGAGAAATAGAGTGAGGAAACCCTATTTCTCAAGAGTAAAAATTAACTCTAATTTTGTATCTTTAATGTTAATGATTTCATGGGTTTATATAGAACCCATTGTGTTGTTTGGCGTAAAAATGCAACTTTGCATCTATGTAACCTACATCACTCATCAAACTACACTTCCCAAATTACAAATAATATGATGCAATTCTTTGTATATCAGATGCAACACTTAAGACTAAACAAGAATAATTTTTTCATTCAATATTTCGAAATTAAATATTATAATATTTAATAAATATTATAATATAAATTTTCAATGTTGACTTGACTGTTCGTCCATCAATAACAGGTCCTCATCTCAACCCAAATATAATGATGTCAAAGGAGAGGAGAAAATGAGAAGGAAACTCTGGAGGGTAGTTTGAAATTAAATATTATAATATTTAATAAATATTATAATATAAATTTTCAACATTGACTTGATTGTTCTTCCATCAATAACAAGTCCACATCTCAACCAAAATATAATGATGTGAAAGGAGAGGGGAAAATGAGAAGGAAACTCTGGAGGGTAGAGGGAAGGCCACATCTCAACCAAAATATAATGATGTGAAAGGAGAGGGGAAAATGAGAAGGAAACTCTGGAGGGTAGAGGGAAGAAAAAGGAGGGAGAAAAGGGGAAAAGAAGAGAGAAAAGGAGAAAAGGGGAAAAGAAGAGAGAAAAGGAGAAAAGGAGGAGGGAAACGTAGAAAAGGAAGGAGGAATGACTGGAAATTTTGAAGAAAAGAGAAAAGGAGAAGGGAAGGAAGAAAAGCAGAAAAGAAGGGAAGAGGGGAAGGAAAAGAGGGAAATGCATAAAAATAAAAAAAATAAAAAAAGAAAATTGCCTTCATCATTATGTCTACTAACGGAAAAGAGCAAAATGCTCCCAACTACTCTTGTTTCTTACATTGTAAATTATATTTCGTATAATGATAAACCAGTATTTCTACCCGAGGATATAGACACAATTTGCCAAATCTCTTTACTATATAGCAAGCTTATAACTGCACAATAATTCGATCAACCACCTTAAGTTTAACTATACATGTACCAAGATTCAAGTTTTTTCTAACTTTCCTCATGAAACTAACTGAACAGTACAAGTGCCACATTATTATGCGGTTCTATCACGTTTTAATCACATTATCTTTAGGACAATCAATCTTGCAGTTGAATATATAAACCTTCAAGATGGCGATATTGGAAACACTAGTTGGTGGGTTGATTGGTAGAAATGGTTCCACCAATTCAAGAATAAGAAATGTGTATTGAGCAACGATCAAAGTATGTTGTATTTTATCACAAAAGATTTTTGTACATATTAAAAGTGCACTTTATCACAAAAAGGTGAGCAACGATCAATATAATTGTAATTTATAAAATCACACATAAAAGAAGAAGTAATATTTTCTTTTTCTTTTCATCTCCGCAACTGTCTTAAAGAAACGCTTTTTGGGTCAACGGATGGGACCACCCATGTTATAGTTGTTTGTAAATTTTCCTGGAAGTACATGGGAATGACCCAATTACATATTTCCCCTGCTCACAGACATTTGCATTGCACCCAGCAAACACCAGTTTTTTTGTTTGAACATCGATCCACTTCAATGGCTCTTGTGAGAACATCTCCAGGAAGCTCCTCTAATTCCAACACCTTTCGGCGTTATCGCTACGACGTGTTCTTGAGCTTCAGAGGCGAAGAAACTCGCAAGACTTTTACGGACCACCTCTACACAACCTTGAACAACGCAGGATTTCTCACGTTCCGAGACGACGATGAACTCGAGAGAGGAGAAGATATAAAGCCAGGACTGCAGAAAGCGATCCAGCTGTCACAAACTTCTGTTGTTGTGTTTTCGAAAGATTACGCGTCATCCAGGTGGTGTCTTGATGAACTTTTGTTGATCCTTGAACGCAAGAAGACCACCTCGGACTACGTAGTTTTACCAGTGTTCTACGATGTCGATCCGTCCCACGTGAGCAAGCAAACAGGAAGTATTGGAAAAGCATTTGCTAGAAGCCAGAAAAATCAATCACCGGAAAAGGTGGAAGGATGGAGGAAAGCACTTGCAGAGATTGCAGACCTAGCAGGCATAGTCTTACAAAATCAAGCTGACGGGTAACTTTCATTTTCTTCTTTTGTCTTCTCTTTGTTGTTGTTGACCTCTCCAATAAAATCACAAAATATTGATTTACCCAACACAAATGTTCATATGACTTCTGGCAACTTGCTCCAGTAATAATCCCATTTAAGGTCAATGAAGTTGTCATGATCTATATGTTGCGTAAATTAGATAACCAAAATTAAACTCATTAAGTCTTGAATTTTAGTGCTCGCAAGTATACGAATCAAATGATTGTATAGCATATAAGCATGAATATCATCCCATAGAGATTGAATTGATTCTCAAAGTCTTACTAATTAAATTGAAACAAATCATAGTGGAGAAGTTTTAATGGAAAAGATATGAAACTTTGAAATTAAAATGAAATAAAATACAACTTTAAAAATAAAATGCATAAATTAATAAGATTAAAATATAAGAAAATAAAACCTAGGGCATCCGAATTCACCGTAACCAATCCTACTTAATTCCCTTAATATGTTATGCTCAAGTAGTTCCCCAATATTGATAATTGATTTTCCCTAAATTATTCGACGGCCATGACATCTGGTTACATCAAAAGTATCCTTACATGTTAACCATCTATGGCATCTAGATGGATTTAAACAAGTAAAAACCTATTAAGCTCTATAGAAATCGTCGGAAAATCACACAAACCTTAATTGTATGGCATCTACAAATAGGTATTTATGGTATCAATTGCAAGAAGCTAAACCCAAGTTAAGTATGACATCTACTCTAACTTGCATCAAATCAACTTAATTTAAACCTAGATGGTGATCAAGCTTCTAAATAAAAATTAAGCGCATTACGATTATCAAAAGATACTCAATAAGAAAGAAAAACTCAATAACAACAATGCATCAAGATAATTAAGCATTCATGATCGGGCTACATCGTAGCCCTAGCAAAGAAAAAAACAAACTAGAAAACTCTTCCTTTTTCCCTTCCTTGCCGCTGCCCCCCTTTGGAATATGAATTGTGTTTTTTTTCTGGATGGCTTTCTCCCCCTTATAAAACCCACGGCAAAAGAAAGTCCAAGAAAGAAATATAACAATTAAAACCCTACTAAAATCCTATCACTAACGGACTTTAAGTCCTTATTAAATAAAAAGAAAATAACGAAAATAATAAAAACAAATAATTATGTCTCTTCTTAAATCTATTGAATAGCACTCCCATGTCTATTTGATTCCAAAACTGCTTGGTTTCATCTTCTTGTTTTAATGCATATGTCTTGGTGTAATTAATTAGCCTCTTGCTCCACTGGAATTGCTTTAGACACCTGAAAAGCTCATTTTCCACTTCTTTTTCACGTAACTCCCATATTGAATGCCTAAAAATAAAACAATAGATTTTAGTGCATTTAGCCCATTCATATATACAAATTCCCCCAAACTTAGATTTTGCTTGTCCTCAAGCAAAACAAAAGAGAACACAAAGACTCAACGAAAACAAATTAATAGCTAACTTCCCAAATTTTAATCTTAGAGAAAACACCAACCATAAGATAACTTTCAAGAAATAAGCAACAGTAGTTCAAGACATTATCCAAGAGCTAACCAAATTTTACTTGGAGTGTAATGTGTGTAATAGCCATATCAATGCAATTCCAAGCTTTTTAAAATCATCATACCCAAACTCGTGAGCTTCTCACAAGGCATACACTCATTCACTCATATTTGTGGATTAATATGTTACACTCAAATGATCTCACAAACATGCCGCCATATGCTTGCTTGTCTACCTAACTCGACATCAATATCAAGTAACTTCTTGGATCAAAAGGACTTTATTACGGTTGTATTAATGGGGTTAAGGATGGTAGGCTAATGAAAGAAAGTTATGGAAAAAAAAAACATACGGTGTAAATAGCTTGTAGAGCTTTACAATTGAATTTGAGAGATAAATGCTTAAACTCATGAAGCTTATCAAAACCTAAGCACATAACATGAACCTTATTTCCATTGATTGATCTTTTTGAAACATTCCCCACCCCCCACCCTCCCCCCCCCCTCTCTCCTTCTCTCTTCTCTTTTTGTCTTTTTTAATAATAAGCAGCCGATTTTCTTTTCTTTTTTTTTTTTCTGTTTTTTTCTTTTACAGCAATCAGCAACTTTTTTTTCTTTTTTCTTTTCCTTGTCCATAGCAATATTTAGCCCCCAACATTTTGAACTCTCTCCTCTAAATGAATTATTCTACAAGCTCTTTAAATGGATATGAATTTTTTTTTTTTTTTTTTTTATGGGACTAGGTAGGGAAAATTTAGGTTAAAGAACAAGAAAAGGCTCACATAAAGGCTCAACGGGGCTAACTAGGAAAAATAACTATAAGGGTTGGCTAGAAAGGCTCAAATGAAAGAAACAAATGCCTAAATCACTTCCAAGTTTGTTATGTGAATTGATGAATGCAACAAGAGGTATAAAGCAAGTTCTAGAAATACATGTAAAATGAGATCATACACACAAGAATAATTGAGATTGATGCATAGTAGTTCAATCTATTTTAGGCTCAAAAGCTCACAAGGATTACATAAGTTCACTCGATTTACATATGAAACTTAAATCATGCTCTAATTTCACAGTTACATGGCTTGCATATATATTTTCCAAGTCATGCTCAAAAAAAAAAAAATGGTTAAAACAAAGTTAATGTAAAGAACTAATGTCAAGCTTAAATTTCTTGAAAGTTGTGAAAAAAAATTAAGACTGAATCTCATAATTGAATTGGGAAGTAACCAATAACATCAGGACCCAAAGAAAAATAAAATATTTTTGGATTTTTCAGAAATTTATATTTTTTATGTTTTTATTTATTTTATTTTTCTACAACTAAAATGAAGAAGACTAAAAAAAAAATGAAGAGAAGAGTAAAGAAAATAGACAACATGACACACCCCGACCGAGATCAGGGCGTGCTGGCCGTCACGTGGAAGTGACGTAGCCATGTGCACCGTGCGGAAGCTAATAAAGTAGTAATATGAAAGTACGAATAAATAAAAACTAGCATACATAAGTTATAAATAATAAGTGCTAGCATAAGTGAGACGCTAAGTTCGGAGCAATAAGTCTACAGCAGTCCAAATTAAAATGATGCGACAACAGTGCACCCGAAGGTGACCCTACATAGGTGAGTGTCTGTCAGAAATGCCTGGAAGCCCTCTGGGGAAACCACCGAACCTGCTAGGCAACTAGAACCTGGAGGGGCGCAAAACAAAAGCGTGAGTGGGCAAAAACAAAGCTTTTCAAAAACCATTTATCAAAAATAAGTTCTAACCCCTCGCCGTAAAACCTGTATACTTCCCAGAAAATAAACATATGCTCGTATAAATATATATGTCAACCATGCATCAAGAATATGCCATGCCAGGATATCATAACGATATGCAAGTGCTCAGGTGTAAACCATATCAATAACATATAGCTGGCAGCCGGAGTCACCTAAAGTGACCTGTACGGCTGAATCAAGAGCTCAAATCTCAATATCAATAACTAAACCTGCCCACGAGTTGGAACCACCTAACGTGGTCTGTACGACAGGCCTGGGTGTAATACATATAAACGCTCTAGTGCTACGATCACGTGAAGGCTGTGCGAATAGTCGCGGGTCACCTACGAGTCGGAACCACCTAAAGTGGTCTGTACGACAAGACTGTGCACCTAACTTGGATCCAAGCTGAGCGTGTGGTGCGGGAGGTGAACAACACGTGAAGGACTGTGCCCTACAGGTTATGAGCTCTCTAAGCACCTCTAACCACTATTAGATGCAATTGTTAAATAAAGCTTACCTGGCACTTACCTGTGCCTCCACAGCACCAACATATATATATAAACATATAAATGAATGTACATAAATAACCATATAGGCAACTGACCATGCATAATAACCAATAATAATAACGGAATGGCATAAACTAATAAACATTTATATAAATTTCTGGGAATTATAAGTATATAGGTAAATACGGAAAACCAAAAGCCCACTCATTGGTATGTGGAAGGGTCGTACCCCCCCTGCCTCGAGTGACCACGCTCGTCCTCGGGATATGTCTCACCTCTATGCAAAAATACTATAAAAACGTTAATTTTAAAGCACATAACCTTCCTTTCGTAATAACTTCTCATACATTGCTCAAAATGGACAATTGAATATACCAACGTGCTCTGCACAACCTCAGGATCACACCCATATTTTTAGAAAAATTTTCCACCGCCGCACGCGTCGGCCACGCGCAGGCACGTGCCTGGCACGCTGACGGCGTCAACTGACGCCGTGAGGAATATTCCGTTAGTTCTAACGGATTCCGTCAACGGCGTCAGGAATATTCCGTCAGATTTGACGGAATATTCCGTCTCCTTCCCCGGCGAACCTCCGGTGACGTCGCCGGCGCCGGAAACTGGGAAAATCTTCCAACTTCGTTTTCTCTCTCGTTTCTCAACCATTTTCCACGATTCTTGCACCAAATTGAAGCCTAGAACTAGTAGAACTACGATATAACGCTTTTAAGGCCTAAAAATCACGAGATCATACCTGTCCACACAATCCAAAATCGGCCAACTTCGAACCAGGCGATTCCGACGTCAAAACTCTTCGAACGAAGCACTCCGAGGCTCCTTGGGACCTCACCAAGTCACCTATGAGCTTCAAAATCCCAAAAACGTGCTAGATTATTTTTGCATGAATAGGAACTAAAACGGACCTCGTCGAATCGACGTGAAAACGGCGATACCCTTACCTGAAAATGGTATCACTGGACTCCTCTCAGCCTCACGAGCACGAAGGTGGTCTTGGTTCCCTCGATCTGCAAGTGTTTGAGTGTGTTTATGTGTGTCCGTACGTTTTCGATGGAAAAAGAGAGGAGAGGGGACTCGGGGGAGAGACAGACAGGGAAAGGGACAGAGAGACAGTGAGAGTGAGAGTGTGTGTGTGTGTGTGTGTGGCCCAACACATGCCAACACCACACCAAACAACCACTAAACGTAAAAGAAACGAACTAAGGGCAAAAGCGTCTTTTCACATATACGTTTTCGATAATTTCGGGACGGGATGTCACACAACAAAGGTACAGAAAAATTAATCAATAAAGCTCTTGGACAAAGAAACTTCCCGGGTTTAAAGGAGACACGCAAGCGAAGATGTACATGGAATCCACCCCCAAACTTGAATTTTGTATTGGCATCAAGGTAAAGTGGCTCCATTTTTCTGCAAAAATAGAAAATAATGGGTAAGCTAAACAAGAGACTTAGGAGAATAATTTTTTATTGAAAAAAAAACTAAAGCCAAAACCAACTAAAAAAATGTAACAATCCAATTAAGTAAGTAATGGAATCAAATTCGATCCCTGGCAACGGTGCCAGAAACTTGTTGCGTATAACCAAAATTAAACCCATTAAGTTTCGAATTTTAGTGCTCGCAAGTATACGAATCAAATGATTGTATAGCATATAAGCATGGATATCATCCCACAGAGATCGAATTGATTCTCAAAGTCTTACTCATTAAATTGAAACAAATCATAGCGGAGAAGCTTTAATGGAAAAGATATGAAACTTTGAAATTAAACTGAAATAAAATACGACTTTAAAAATAAAATGCATAAATTAATAAGATTAAAATATAAGAAAATAAAACCTAGGGCATCTGAATTCACCGTAACCAATCCTACTTAATTCCCTTAATATGTTATGCTCAAGTAGTTCCCCAATATTGATGATCGATTTTCCCTAAATTATTCGACGGCCATGACATCTGGTTACATCAAAAGTATCATTACATGTTAACCCTCTATAGCATCTAGATGGATTTAAACAAGTAAGAACCTATTAAGCTCTATAGAAATCGTTGGAAAATCACACAAACCCTAATTGTATGGCATCTACAAATAGGTGTTTATGGTATCAATTGCAAGAAGCTAAACCCAAGTTAAGTATGACATCTACTCTAACTTGCATCAAATCAACCTAATTTAAACCTAGATGGTGATCAAGCATCTAAATAAAAATTAAGCGCATTACGATTATCAAAAGATACTCAATAAGGAAGAAAAACTCAATAACAACAATGCCACAAGGCAATTAAGCATTCATGATCGGGCTACGAAAAAAAACAAACTAGAAAACTCTTCCCTTTTCCCTTCCTTGTCGCTGCCCCCCTTTGGAATATGAATTGTGTTTTTTTTTTTCTGGGTGGCTTTCTCCCCCTTATAAAACCCACGGCAAAAGAAAGTCCAAGAAAGAAATATAACAATTAAAACCCTACTAAAATCCTATCACTAATGGACTTTAAGTCCTTATTAAATAAAAAGAAAATAACGGAAATAATAAAAACAAATAAGTATGTCTCTTCTTAAATCTATTGAATAGCACTCCCATGTCTATTTGATTCCAAAACTGCTTGGTTTCATATTCTTGTTGTAATGCATATGTCTTGGTGTAATTAATTAGCCTTTTGCTCCACTGGAATTGCTTTAGACACCAGAAAAGCTCATTTTCCACTTCTTTTTCACGTAACTCCCATATTGAATGCCTAAAAATAAAAAAATAGAATTTAGTGCATTTAACCCATTCATATATACAAAATGCAAAGGAAGTATATGATAAAAATATACGAAAATATGCACCCATCACTGTACCATGTAGCTGCATGGAATAGCTGTTAAGAATTATTGATCGAACCTTAGTATAAATTTCTCCTTTGAATTCCATGAATATCAAACTTCGTATAATTGATTGATATCGAGTGCACGACATGTTTGATTCATCATTCATTTTATTTGCAAATTCTTAGGTACGAGTCAAAGTTTATCAAAGATATTGTTAGAGTGATTAGTGATAAGCTACGTCGCTCACACTTGAGCGTTGAATCAAAACTGATTGGCATCCATTCTCGAGTCGAACCCATCAATTTATGGTTACAAGATCCATCGCATGATGTTGGTATACTTCTTGTTTATGGGCTGCCTGGAATAGGGAAGACAACCATTGCAAAATGTGTTTACAATTCAAACTTTGTAAGTTTTGAAGGAAGCAGCTACGTTGAAAGTATCAGAGAAATTGCAAGTCATCCCAACGGCTTAGTTCAAATACAAAAGCAAATTCTTTATGATATTTTAAATGGGAAAAAGGAGAAAATACACAATGTTAGTGAGGGAATAATTAAGATTGGAAGAGCCATAAGCTTTAGAAGAGTTCTTCTTGTTCTTGATGATGTGGACCATATGGACCAATTAGATGCAGTACTGAGGATGAAAGATCAGTTTTATCCTGGAAGTAAAATAATCATAACAACTAGGCGTGAAAGGTTGATAAAGGCACATGAAGGTATTACGGTGCATGAAGTTGGACCCTTGGGTTCCGATGAATCATTGGAGCTCTTAAGTTGGCATGCTTTTGGCCAGGATCATCCCCTTGAAGGTTATGAGAAATATTCTGAAGAAGTCGCACAACACAGCGGAAGACTTCCATTAGCTCTCAAAGTTTTGGGTTCTTCTCTTTTCGGGGAACCTAAGCGTGTTTGGAAAAGTACATTGGAGAAGCTAGAAGTTATTCCAAATGGTGAAATCATGAATAAATTAAGAATAAGCTACGACTCTTTACAAGATGACCATGACCAGAAATTATTCCTCCATATTGCTTGTTTCTTTATTGGAAAGGATGAAGATTACATTGTCAGAATACTAGATGGATGTGATTTCAAGACAATCTGTGGCATTCAAAATCTCAGAGATAGGTGTTTGGTGACAATTGTTATGGACAAGTTGTATATGCATGATGTTATTCGTGACATGGGACGAGAAATTGTTCGCCGAGAATCATATGAACCTGGGAATCGTAGTAGATTGTGGCACTCTAAGGATTCTTTCGAAGTATTGAGAGAAAAGAATGTAAGAAATGTTCATTGTATGTGTGTGTTTCTTTTTCTCTTGTGCTAATTAACCAATTGTTTTTCCGATTTCTTGTATAGGGTACGCAAGCAATTGAAGGTCTTATGCTAGACATACGTGAACTGCTTACAAACAGTCCCATGAAATCAAACGAGAATGTCTTGGAAACCAATTCATTTGCAAGGATGCACAAACTGAAATTGCTCTGTCTTAGACATGTACAACTGGACGGATGCTATGCAGAACTTCCGACAAGGTTAAGATGGCTGTGCTGGCTTGAATTTCCTTTGGATTCAATTCCTGTTGATTTTTCTTTGGAGAAATTGGTAGTTCTTGAAATGCAATATAGCAACTTGAGACAACTCTGCAAAAGAGCAAACGTATGTTACTCAACGCTTTTCAATTTTGTTTTCCTTCTTTCTTTAGGTTTTAATTCTTTAATTAATTTTATATGTTGGAATCAACTCCTAGTTATTTTTGTTTGTTTGCTTATTTTTATTTCTTTCCAGTTTCTTCCATCGTTGAAGACCCTTGATGTCAGCCATTCTCATGGCCTTAGTGAAACCATGGACTTCTCACCTTGCCCCAATCTAGAGGAATTGATTCTTGTGGATTGCACCAGCCTGATTGATGTTCATGAATCCATTGGAAACCTAGAGAGACTCGTGTACTTGAATATGAAGGATTGCAAGAATCTTAGGATGCTTCCGAAGAACATGTGTTTTCTTAAATCACTTGAAACACTCATTTTATCTGGCTGCTCAAATCTTGATGAGTTTCCAGTGGAGATGAAGAAGAAGATGGAGTCTCTGAAAGTTCTTAAAATGGATGGAATTCCAATAAGAGAATTATGGCCAGAAAGAAGTTCAAGTATCTTGAGTTCTTTTCCATGCTCCTTAGTAAAGTTATGTATGGTGGGGTGCAATCTTTCTGATGATGCCTTTTGTAGGGATTTAAGTAGTCTATCCTCGTTGCGAACACTAAAGTTAGGTGAGAATCCAATTTGCAGTTTGCCAGGTTTCGTCAAAGGTTTGAGAAGGCTCGATCATCTATCTTTCCGGGATTGTAAGAGGCTCAAATCGCTTGTGGGGTTGCCGAAAGTACACCAAAGGATAAGTATAGCCGGATGCGTATCATTAAAAAAAATGACTTTTCATTCCCCTGAGCAACAGTCTACAATGTTCAGCGTGGGTGACAATTGGAATCTAGTTGAGTGGCAGTACGATTACAAGTTATATGTGGAAATGATCGAACTTTTGGGCGTGTGCAACTTGGGATCCTTGCCAGCCATTAGAATGAACGCACTGTTCGGATGCGGTGGTTCAAAAGAGGGTAAATGGAGTCCCGTCCAGGTGCGTCTCTCTCTCTCTCTCTCTCTCTCTCTCTCTCTCTCTCTTATATAAGTCATTAATATATCATGGGAAATAAATAACTGAGTAATGTTGTGATGATTGTGGCAATTACATAGGGACTGTATGAAAATGGTATATTCAGCACGTTTTTTGTTGGGAATGAGGTTCCAGGCCAGTTTAGCTATAAAAGTACCAAGTCTTCGATATCTTTTATTGTCCCTTTACTACTTGCTAATCACAGAATTCGAGGCTTGAACATCTTTGCTACCTATGCAAAGGAGCAGAATTATAATAATTCTTTTAATCCAATAATGACTAAAGTGAGTAACAAGAGTAAGGGTCTGAAGTGGATCTATGGCCCAGAGTTCTATGGAATTCCAGGAGAGGGAGAACATATGATATGGTTGAGCCATTGGAAGATGGATAATGAAACAATATTACAATGTGGAGATGAAGTGCTTGTTGCAGTACACATGAGTCCTAGTCAGTTTCAGCTCAAGGAGTTTGGTGTCGAGCTTGTGCAAGAGCACCAAGACAAGATGAGTACCCAACACAACACCAAATCAGATCCCAATTATCCACTTGTTATCGGTGGAAATTTGGATACGTGGAAGAGCAGACCGGGAATATACTTCCTTGGCAATAGGACAAGGGAAGATACTGACGCCATTGCTATCCTCGCCATGGACTCTGATGAAGAAGATACAAGTATGTTGTGTTGTGTTGTATTGAATTATACTCCATCCAAACACTTCCAAGTGTGTCCGTATTCATTTCAAAAATGTTTCCAATAAGTTTTATGTTATTTGTATGTTTTTCAGACAAAGAAGGGCAAGAGGATGAACCTGATTACACAAATGCAAAGACGAGGGCTGCTAGCAAAAACTGCAGTCTCGGACGCTGGAAGGTGCTCCTCACAGCTGCTGGCTTCTTTTTCACGCTTGCTGTAGTGGTTCAGTCCTCCATCTCCCAAAAACAGAAGCGTCGATAGTCTACAAGCCCTCCATGAGTTTATAATTTGACTTGATATAGATATATCTTTGCATTCCTTACTTTCAAGATGTTTTCTACCTTCAAAACTTCAGGCTTAGAGCCAAGCACTCTTAACCGCTTGAGATATAAAAGCCCCTTGCAACTAGATACCGAAGTTCAAATGTGTTCAATACCATCGAATATAGCATAAAATACATCCAGCATTAGCAGCGTAGCAGTAAATAAGTAAAACAAAAAAATGCTTCTCAAAGTCATAGGTATCTTTAGCAATAACGGGCAATAATTCTTTTTGGGGGTGGCTGTGTTGAGAATATTTCGGGACCGGGGAAAACAAAACATCCTATCCGCTTATAAATGACAAAGTTACAAATCTTAGTTGCCATTTACAACAAAATCATTCTTCAAGACTCGGCTCCCCATTGAAATTGTGTAAATTGCATAAATATGAATACAACAGATATTAGATAGAATTATATATATATATATATATATATATATCAAACAATTAACAGGCAATTTCTTAGCCTGAGATCCAAGGACTTTACAGCTGGTTCAGCCTTGCATCGCTACTACACTAAAGAAGCTGGTTTCTATTTCTTCAACCTGAACAAATTATTGAGGTCAAGAAGTAAAGGAGGAACGGCCAGAGTCTCTGAAGCCATGAAATTTACTATCTTCACATGAACATTGTGCCTGCAAAAGCACAACTCAATAAGCATTCAACAATCTGACCTAGTTTGCTCAACAGATGCTCCAAGATATTCCAAAACAAAGTCACAGCAGTCTCACATAGGGAACCGAAGAATCTATTGATACCTTATCTTGCGACTCTTCAGAGGCTCTTCTGTCAACAATCTTCCTCTTCTTAGCATGCAACTTTTTCAAAGAATAAAAGGCTTGTCTCTGCGAATAATCAAATAGTGCAAAATCATAATCAATAATCAATAGACGTTCAGGATCAATTAGGTTCCAAGCCCACTATTGAAAATCATGTTCATCCACTCTAACATCCAAGCACATCCAAAGCAGCAAACTAACTAGGATACCAGGTTGGGAGGATACAATCATTAACAATTTCACAAGCCACAATTTTTAAATGCAATCTGAGTGCATGTGTATCGAACTACAAGAAATCTTATAGATTGGGTCGACCGTATAGTATATCACATTCAAATGCAATTATTCATGTAGATGAAGTATGAGATGTCCTAATTGTTTTACCAGAAGATGCTGGGTCAATTATCTCAAAAAATTATTTCGGTAATTGCTGGTAAAACTCAAAGTTATCCAAAAGTTCGGGGTCAGCATAAACTTGTGCACCAGCATCAAATTGTGTCTCCTATCAGACTGAAGGAATAAAATTACTCAATTTGTGCAAATAGAAATATAAATTTTATAACACATCAAAGAGATAATTAAAGCAGACCTCACTGGCTGCACATCCAAGTGGCAAACAAATCAAAATTTTAAATAAAGCTAATGGCGCGTATTGAAACTCTCACAGCCCTTGCACACACGTTGCATGGTCTTTTCTTATAGCAATAAAAGGAACAAATTCATCAAGTCACATTTGGGCCATTAAAAAAGGGAACCAAACACCACAAACAACCCAAAATGTGTTCAAACCTAGTATCAAACTAATTATAAACTGCATCCATCCCAAATAATGAATTTGTACCTCATTTGGGAGTAAAAACTAATTATAAACTGCATCCATCCCAAACAATGAATTTGTACCTCATTTGGGAGTTAAAATAGCACATGGGAAAATTGAAAATTCCATGGGACATTTAATCCAATGAATTTACAGATGGGTCCTAAGATTAGTATAGGATTATAGTTAACCACAAGTATATGCAATCAGTACCTCTCCCTTTGTAGTGTTGTCCCCCTCAGGAACCTGCATATCCATAAATCATGTTTAAATTGCTGAACGTACAAAACTTAAGAAAAACCCATCTCGATGTTAAAAATATGAATTGTATCTGAGCATGCACGTCAGACCTTGGGAACTGTGAAATTTTCCAATTTAGATGTAAGAGTCAAAATCTTACAGTGCCAAATACACAACTGCTGATTTCCTCATCTGACCTGCCTAACCATTTTGCTTGGATCTCTCATATAAGAAGCAACTTGTTCACTAATATTCTGCAATTGGAAAAAGAAAAATGAATTCTTGGTGAATATCTGGCATAGCATGGCACAAGTCTGTCATAGGGAAAGGCGTGGTTACAAGTTCGATTATAGAGCCAGACCTAATCAAAAGCATGCAGTTTGCTTTTATAGCAGTAGCACCTGTGGTCACCTCTGTCTTCTTCTGCCATTCCTCTATCGATTTGTTTCTGAAAGTAGCCATTCTACAAGATACAGCGTGACAGGTCTTAGTTAGACCAAGTAACCGGCATGGAAATGCTTTCTGAAGCAAGAATCTGAACTCAAGAACTTTGTGCCAGAGAGACTTCAGAAAAATGAAAAAAAAAAAAAACATAGAACATGGGTAAGAATAAACATTGATCAGACAATAATTCACTGTATAAATCATTTTTTTCAACTTTAAAGTGTGGTTTCAAAAGAAGCTTTAAACAAGTAGCAATAATGTCATATTGAAAAATAAAACCTATTTCAAGGATATTACAAGGGCCATTATTTTGAAAAACACACCTTTTGGTTCTTCACTGCTTGACTTTTAAGAAGATCTTCGTCCTTGTGCCGATTCAGATTCTTTAAAATGTCTTTGTGACGGAATAAACGAAGAACAAAATTAACATCATATGTCAGCAGATATCTTTGTATAGATTTAGTTCCTTCTTTTTTCTCGAACTGAAGAATTGCATATGCATATATAACTCCATTGTGCTTTCATAATAACTAAATTAAATAGATACTGAAAATTAGCCTCGAGCATAGATGACAATGGCACTAGTATTCAATTTCTATAGCCACACTCCAGACTATTATATTATTCAATGACTTCTGTAACCTAATATCAAATTTCGTCACCAACCTTCCAACTGCCATGCATATTATCTCCTATATTCACATTATTTAGTTCCATGTCTTCATTCTAATTAAGCATCACAAGATTTTCCTCTTCCCCCTCTTCTTCTCCATCTTCTTCCTCATCCTAGCCATCATGCTCATCAAAGTCATCCTCTTCCAGCTCCAGCTCCAGCTCCATCTACATCACAAATCATCAATTAACAACAAAATCACCAAAAAAAAAAATGATATGCAATTTACCAGGCTGGAATTACCCGTTTCGAAAACCCATACCCGTTTGCTAAAGCAAGTCTCAAACTCTATCGATTATTTTCTCCTTCCTACACCAAAAAGCTTTTGGGCCTTACATGGCTTCATGGGCCAGTTAGGCCAATATTAGATTGAGCAGGCATGTCTCATTTAATTAGCACTTTGTTGTACACTAGTAAGAATATCCGCGTTTTGTTGCAGGTTTTTAAATCGTTTAAGATTATAAATGAATAGCTGGAAATATTTGGAATAGTTTTGTTCATTACTAAACAGTTGAATATGTACAGGGCGGATTTGTATTGACTCTATAGTAGGAACTATGTACAACCAAAAAGACCAATAGGCAATTTCAAAAATTGCTCACATTGACCAGTCTTCCGGTTTGTGTCTACACTCGACCGACTTCACATTAAGAGCTACGGACAACCAAAAGGGCAGGACTTCCAAGTCCCAACTATATACGATTTAAAAAATTGCCCACATTCATCAGTCTCAATTTGTATCTAGCTACATCCTGCTAAGTTTAGCCTATATACAACAAAAATGAATCCCTTGCTCTCTTTCTCATGACTTAATTTTCTGCTCCATTGTTCTTGGCCCGTCACTTGTTTCAGTGGTTTAAAAAAACAAAAAATCATTTTTTTTTTTAAGATTTATCTTTTCAGGGGCTTCCAGTTGGTTACTACAAAATACCAAAAAAAGATCTGTCAGTGTGACTGAATTGTGAAATTTACCAAGTGAATTAGGATATATAAGAAGCTATCGCTCGCAAATCACACTGCGATACTTATAGAAAATTTATCTTGTTAAAAGGTGGTAGCTTTTCAATTAGGACTTTATGAAATCTTCCCTAGACAAAATAACAAAGTCTGATGGAGTAGGCTGTGGAGGGGTTTTCTTGCTCCTTAATGTTTTAAAAATACGAAGAAAAAAAATTAATAGAGGAGATTCAAACTTGTGACATCTTTCAACACTGATAAGATATATACACCACTAGACCAAGAGGCCAACCTAAAAGAGAGTTGTTCAAAACTTAACTTCACCTTATTTTCTCTACATTAAAAACAGAACAAAGAGGAATTACGTTTCTTTTTCTAAGTAGACTGGTTGAAATTTCACTCACATTAAAGGTTATGATTCATGTCACGAAACATAAACAAAACCAAAGGAAAATGTTAACGGGAAGTAAAAAAGTGAGACGCTAGAAATAGTACCAGAGGTCCTCAGGAATCAAGTATGCCTACAAGGACAAATGCATTGAGGATTTGAAATTATGTCACAAAACTATCTGAAGCAGAGAAATTAACCAACATACAAAATATCTGGAGTAGAATTTTCGGTAAAGTTTCAACAATCACCGAAATGAGGTGTGGATATCCACATTGTCTTTAGATCAAACTGTATTCACAATGTCTGCAAGGTATCGCAATATGCATCCCGAACCAGCTCTTTCTGTCAGTTTTTCATGAATCCGGAGGCTCTGGTCGCATGTGGGCCGGTCTCCAGTAGACAATCCTCTATACAAGTACCTTCAATGAGAGAAACCCCCAAATTGTAAAATGTCCTAACGAACAGCATATACCAAAGATGGGGAAAGGAAGGGCAGGAGAACTTTTCTTATAGGAAAAGGAAGAATAATAAAGAAAACTAAGGAGAAAAACATCAAGAAATCGAAATCACAAACTTAGAAGAAAAAATATGCATACCTAATATTTTCTAAATCTTTGGGGTAGAAACTTGTTTATATGACACTGCACCAAAGCCGTACATACAACAAACGCTCTAATGACGATAATTTGACATCATGGAAAAGAAACGAAATAAGAAGAAACATACAAATGTTTCGTATATAGTGATATTCATAATGAACTACACCACATAAAACACGTCCCTGTTTCTACGTTGAAGCCTATTTTTGATAAATTACTTTCTACACATTCGTGGAGCCAATACTTTGATTGCTCAAGAATGCAACTATTTGTTTCACACTAGATGCTAATCTCAACATAGCGTGTTAAGTGTATGGAAAGACCATAGGGATTAGGCCTTGGAAGGATGCAATGCTGGACTTATGTAGACATCAAAATTTCGGTGAAATGAATGTTGACCAATAATTAAAATTTCAACGCTCACGTGTCACATAAATTTTACATGTAGCGTGTGACTCAACGAAAAATCGAAATAAATTGGAAAAGTCATCAAATAGGACACGTGTCAATACCTGGCAAAAATGATTTATTTCATCTGATTATTTAAATCCAAAAATCAAGTTTTGGAATTCTATAAATAGGAAGCCAAGGCATTCATTTTGGAGAAAGAAAGGAAGAAAGGAAAAAAGGAAGAGGAATTTACATTACACCAAAACCTTCAAGCCTTGAAACTCTAAAGCTCTCAAGCAAATCCCGAAGGATCAAGAAAACACTCTTCGTTCTTCGTCAAATCCTCCTTCAAGATCAAGCCCTAACGACCCTTGAAGAACTTCCACCAACTCAAGATCAAGCCCCGACGGCCCCTTGAAGAAAGTGTTCATCATTCATCATCCGTTCATCCTAAGATCAAGCCCCAACAGCCCTTTGGATCAACAACCTCAACAAATCCACACATCCAATCGTTCTTCAAGATTAAGCCCAAAAGCCCTTAAAGATCCGCTCATCCATCAACCTTCAAGATCAAGCCCCAACGGCCCTTGAAGAACTTCCATCAACTCAAGATCAAGCCCCGACGGCCCCTTGAAGAAAGTGTTCATCATTCATCATCCGTTCATCCTAAGATCAAGCCCCAACGGCCCTTTGGATCAACAACCTCAACAAACTCATACACCCATTCTTCAAGATCAAGCCCAACGGCCCTTGAAGATCCATTCATCAACTGTTCATCCTTAGATCAAGCCCCGACGGCCCTTTGGATCAACAACTCATCCACAAACCTACACCCTACGAAGATAGAATCAGAGGATCAAATTACAAAGAGATTGTAACCCTAAAAAATCATTAATACAAAAATATATTTTGTACACGTATTCTTGTTTCTTGTTTCAGGAATTTTTCGTGTTTACAAATTTGGCACGCCCGGTGGGATAATCTCTACCTCTCATCTCTATCCTCAAATCATCGAAAAACGCAAATGGCATCAAGAAAGGATCAAGCTATTCCTGCAATCAAAGCAAAGAACAAGAACATCATCGCCGCAAGTGGTGATATTTCGGGCATCATAACCCGAAGTAAGGCAAGAGATCTTTTTGCCGCGGTTTCTGCCCCTGCATTAACTCTGTCAAAGGAACAAGAGCACCTGAGGTACGAGCCTGTGATCACCCTAGCCTCGCTAAGGGCATCAAGGGGGGAAAGCCCGAGGAAATACTCAGAGTCCCTACTTTCCGACGCTGATTCGAGCGGCAGTACAACCATGTAAGTCATGACCACTGGAGAAACTTCAATCGAGGAGCAGCTAGCTCAGATGAATGAAGCAATCGCAAAGCTTACACGGACTGTGGAAGAGAAGGACTTGCAGATTGCCACACTTGTCAACCAACTAGATGCGCTGCCCGACGTGAAAGTCGACCCAAATGTTGGCCTATTAGAGAAAGAAGTCGACGAAGAAGAGGAGCCACCAGCAGAGAAAGTTGAAGAGAAGCCGAAGCTAGACCAAGCAACGGCATTCATGGGATCTCTCTCTATCCAGCAGCTACAGGAGATGATCGCAATATCAAGACACAGTACGAAGGAAGCTCGCATGACTCCGTACTGTACTCAAAGCCTTACTCCAAGAAGATTGATGCTTTGAAGATGCCAAGGGGTTATCAGCCCCCAAAATTCATGCAGTTCGATGGAAAAGGCAACCCGAAGCAACATGTCGCCCATTTCATTGAAACTTGCAACAATGCTGGGACAGAGGGAGACTACCTCGTCAAACAGTTCGTGCGTTCGCTGAAAAGTAACGCTTTTGACTGGTACACTGACCTCGAACCTGAGTCTATCAACAGTTGGGACCAGCTAGAAAGGGAATTCCTCAACCGTTTCTACAGCACTCGTCGTACTGTAAGCATGCTAAAGCTGACCAGCACGAAACAGTGGAAAGATGAACCTGTCGTCGACTACATAAATAGATGGCGTTCTTTAAGTCTGAATTGCAAAGATCGGCTTTCTGAAACCTCTGCCATTGAGATGTGCGTTCAAGGCATGCAGTGGGGGACTACACTACATCCTTCAAGGCATCAAACCACGAACATTTGAGGAGTTAGCCACCCGCGCCCATGATATGGAGTTAAGCATCACCCGTCATGGGAAGAAAGAACAGATCGCCGACTACAAGAATGACAAAGTTTTGGGGCCAAAGGTGGATAAGGCTACGTGGAAACCCACCAAGGAAGCAATGACGGTCAACACAACTCCAGTCAAAATCCATACACGAAGCAAGGCGATTCAAACCGAAGCTTTTCGTGATCAAGAGATACGTAGACGCACTTTGAAGGAGCTTGAGGAGAAGACTTATCCATTCCCCGACTCTGACGTGGTTGCCATGTTGAAAGACTTGCTTGACAAAAAGGTGATCGACCTACCTGAGTGCAAACGGCCAGAAGATATGAACCGTACTGACAGTCCAAGGTACTGTAAATTCCACCGCTTCATTAGTCATCCGATGGAAAAGTGCTTTGTGCTAAAAGATCTCATCATGAAGTTGGCTCAGAAAGGGATCATCGAGCTAGATCTTAATGATGTGGTGAAGTCAAACTATACCACCGTCACTTCTGGCTCTTTGAACTCAAAATCTTCACCTCAACCGCTGGGGGCATGCTCCAAAACCATGTCAGTCAAGTCAAGTGAAGTTGAAGGATGGACTTATGTCACTCCAAAGAAAATGCACAAGAAACATAGGTCTCCTCCACAAGTTCACCAATCGGAAAGGGGGCAAAGCAGCTACCGTCAACCTTCAAAGCTACATGAAAGTGTTAAGGATGATGAAGTTATGACACAAAGATCGTCCGTTGCCATCACGATGCGCGATTTCTTCCCCAAAGACTTCTTCAATCACTCAGTCAAGACTCCTTGCTATAAAGATTGCAAGGAATGCTTCTCTAAAATCGTTTGACAAATTCAAAAAGCTCCTCGTTCGCACGAGCCTAAAAGGCGACAACCAAACGCTCCTTACCTGTACGAGTTGAAACTGCAAACGGCACCAAAAACTCCTGGCCCGCAAGAGCATAAACTGTGTACGGCAAAATCATCATCAAAACCATCACTCATTTGAACTACGTTATGACTTGATCTCTTCTTTGGAAGAGTACGTAGGCAACTTGAAACTTCAAAACTTCAAGTACAGTCACATCAAAATAAATAAATAAATAAATGCAAAAAAAAAAGAAAAAAAAAAAAAGGATTTTATTACAAAGGCAACTATTTCTTTGTACAAAAAAAAAAATTATTATTACAGTTTGTTATTAAAAAATATATATATATATAAAATTTAAAAAATAAAAATAAAAATTTTTGATTAAAAAAAAGGGTTGGCCCCAAAACTTTTTATTCCTCTACCCAAAGCTAACGAGCCCCGCTACAAATTCGGGCCCAACTCTCAAAGCCCATCCTCACTCGGCTCCAAGCCTTCATCTCTGTTTGTCTCTCTTAAATTTCCCGATCCAATTTCGAGCTTGGAAATTTGTCACTAGAAATACCCAGATGGTGTTACTTAAGACACAGACAGACAACTTTCACCTCGCCATTTCTCTCCACCATTTGTCCACTGTATAAAACTTCAGCCACAGAAAGCAGAGCAACCTTGTTTTTATCTTCTCCGATTCCAATCCGGAAGATGGCGAGGAACGGTGTCGCTTCGTGGCGGAGGAAGTCGGAGAAGCTCGATCTCTCGCCGCCGTTGGTTTCGGAAGAAGCTCACGTTCTCGCCGTCGACGACAGCCTCGTCGATCGCAAGGTCATCGAGCGATTGCTCAGAATTTCCTCCTGCAAAGTGACAACTGTTGACAGCGGAAGAAGAGCTCTGCAGTTCCTCGACCTGGACGAGGAGAAGAGCTCCACCGCCAGATTCGATGGCTTGAAGGTGGACCTGATCATCACGGATTATTGTATGCCTGGGATGACCGGCTACGAATTGCTCAAGATAATCAAAGAATCTTCCACATTCAAAGCAACTCCCGTCGTGATTATGTCATCCGAGAACGTTTTGGCACGAATAGACCGGTGTTTGGAAGAAGGTGCGGAGGACTTCATAGTTAAACCGGTGAAGTTAGCTGACGTCAAGAGGCTGAAGGATTACATGACGACGGCGAGGGATGTCGGAGTGGAAGAGAGCGGTGGAGGAATGAACAAGAGAAAGCTACGCGAGTCGTGTGATCCGACGATGCCTTCATCACCGCCGTCCATTTTTTCCGTCGTCGCCGTCGTCGTCCTCATCGTCTTCGTCTAAATCCCCGTCAACGCCTCCACCGATCGCAACAACAACCATCCTTGCTGTCTTTGCCGCAAAGGCCTCGCTCAGCGCCGGAGTTAAGAAGTCGTCCGCAGTGTAGAAGAAGCTG